ATCGTATTTTTCACCAACTGTGTAGTTTTCATTGTGCGCGTGACTCAGTCGCAGCGCCGCGGCGTTCTGAGGGCGAACATCTGTGCGGAATTTTAACCTCAAAACTTGCAGCATGAGTCAGTTTAATGTATTTTTCTTCTCAATAACATAGTTGAAGGACAACGTCCCCAACATTCTGTTTCACTCCAACAGCAATAAATATTAGCCTTTTGACGTAGTCCTCGCATTTCGCATGCCTCGCATAAATATGCCGGCTGGTATGAACATCTGGAACATTCTGCAGACGGTGCGTCATTGATGCGGGAGCCAATGCAACAACAGTTCACTGAGGAAACGCCCTTTGACGGCGTTTTCTTGTGATTCAATAATTTTAAGGGAAGATTTCTCCATTTGTGTGTAAGGAATGATAGTTTTCATTTACCTTTATGGCATCTGTTCCTGTGATGCGCTTCTGGCTCTCCTGGTCGCGTAATATAATGAAAGGTCGACCATATTCGTCAAACGCGAACGTACCAGGAAAGGCGTTCATGCTTTATAAGTTTTAAGAATTGCGGATTTCAACGTATTTTCGAGATTAAATTTTCCGTAAAATCCTATTTTTCGCCTTTACTTTTTACTAGGGTTGTCAAATATATATCAATATATCGATATTTTTTTAAAATAAAAATATATTTATCCCGTGATTTTTCCCCCCAAAATATTGATATATTTATAATTTGATATAAATTTGACAACCCTAACTGCTACTGAGTTGTGTTCAAATTGAGCCCCAAATATTAGGTGTATCTTGCTCTCTTTGGTAAAAAAGGACGAACTTTTCAAAGCTCCCACCTTTTTCGCACCTGTTGCGGATAAAATTCATATAAAATTGTCGATATTTGAAACCTTATCTCGAAAAATATGGGGCATGACTTTACTTTCAACCAATTAAAAATTTTTGATGTCCTGGCATTTTGTTTGCAGTCTCTGCGCAAAAGCCACATGTAGGCATACGTATGGCTTTTCAATAAGATTGCAAGCCTTATTGTGTCGTATGATGTTGCTGCGGAGTTTGCCGCAATGTCCGCAGTGTCGTGCTGCGACGCATAGACGAATCCTGGCGCATCTTCGAATACCTGAGCTCGTTTGAACTCTTTTGAGTTCAAAATGTTCACTAACTTTGTTTTTCAAAGAAATCAATCAAACAAAGCAAAATTTTCAAAATTCCATCACGGGAGACGAAAAGGGGTAGTTTTTGCATACCTGGAAGGCATTTTTCGTGACGTGTTTACCTGTTGTCGACACCTTATTTTTGACAAAACCCTTCCCCATGTGAAGGGAATTAAGGGAATCAAATAAAAATGTAAAACTAAATATAAAATAAAATATATTAATAGTTGACTATAGACAATATATGGTTTATGGTATTTATTTCTTTAAGTATTTTAAATTGAGAATTCACTGCTAATTATGGAATATGGAATAAGAATATATATAAATTAAATACTAATTATTATAATACATATTTTATAAATTATAATATAATAGAATTTCTCATCTCATCTAATATTTCTATGATATCGGTTGACATACATGTGTCTCTACATGCTTCATACACTTACATACTGTATACAAAGTTTCCTTGCATCCAGAAGGGGTGATTTGAATGTTTGAATTTGTAAAATATTACGTCACAAGGTATACAAACCAATAACAATTGGTATTTAAAATACGTCAAATTGATTCTTCAAACGGATTAAATTATTGGTTACGTGTTAAAAGTCCTTTCAAGCTAGTAATATCAAATAGAACATCAAAATCCAGGAAAATATTATAAGATTCACTGCTTTGCACGACGTGATATATTTTGCTATCACTGAAAAAATATCGATATATTTGATATTATTTTGGTTGTAAATATTTGATACAACTCAATTCCAATCGCATCGGAAGTAAATAACTCCCATAAAGAAAACAGAAACCTTACATATGTCTTAAACATCTTTAATCCTTATTTAAATTTTATCACTTTCTCACAAAAACCACCACTGCTGCATACATTGCAATCATCTATTTTTTTAGAAAACTCTGAGAAAAAATTATTTTGCAGACGTCTTTTCAGTTGGCTTTCTTGGTATACGGTGTCCGTGTTAAGTCGAGAAAAACCATGTTTCATGAGCTAAACGAATAGGGACGTGTGAGACGCTTCATACATACACTTGTATCAGTGTGATATCACAGCAATCTTGGAGCAAAATTCAGTGGCTTTAGCTCTTATAGTCTCTGAGCCCGACTGCCAGACGGACAGACAGACATGGACATATCCACTCGGCTATTGATGCTTATCAATACTACTAACAACAGATTATATATTCTTAATGAGGACGGAAACATTTCTTTCTGAGCCCTCGTTTGAGCACAAATACAAAATACCCTATATATTTATTTAGATCCAAAAAATATCGCAAAAACATATTAATATATTGATATTTTGGGTGAAAAAATCACGGTATAAATATATTTTTATTTTACAAAAATATCGATATATTGATATTTTGATATTTTTTCCCAAGTGTTTTGTGGACATCAAGGCAGGTGCTACGTTTTCGTAGGGGCAGTTTTCTTCCAACCTGAACAGCGAATTTCTGCGTATAAAACTTTCAGTTTTGTATAATTTCAATCATTCTTTGTGCGTTAAGTTGCAACCATTAAGTGTTAAAATGCCATCAAGTATGAATAATAAACTGTAAGTAATGGTTCCAAGGTTCCATACAAAAGAAAGTGTGCAAAATCGATTTTGTAGTGTAAACGAAAGATAATGTAAAACAGTGAACCACGACACGACCCCTTTCCAATTGGTGGCATGTAGTTATGGTTGTAGTGGTTTGTAGTGAAGTAGGCTGTAACTTGCTAACAAAAGTACGGTTTGGTGTTGGTTTTTTCTTACCCACACTCACCTAGCCTAACCCATGTGTTAGTATTTTTTTAAGTATATGTGACGAACACACGCAATAACAAAATGAGAAGAACAGTGGAGGAAATGAGTAGAGAAATCTGCCAATCTTGTGTGAAAATAAATTGATTTTAGCATATATCGTAAGTAAAGTAAAAAAATGGTTTCGAACAAATGCTTTGAACAATATTATGAGTTATTTTGTTTTCCATTCGTAGCAGCCATCTTGTGGAGCTGCCACCCTGTTCACAGCGACGGTCTGTGTCAGAGCTGATGACTGTTTTTGAAATAAAAATTAAATTAATTCGACCTCTTCTAATATCTAAAAGATCTAATCTCGTTTCCAACATTATATAACAATTACTTTAGCAGTCATTTCTTGCCTAACAATATGGCAACTCCGTTCACATGTTCCAATTGGCGAAAACACACATTCGTATGTATGGATACATATGTATGGATGCACGTTTATCTATCTGTATATATGCGTCGTTTTTCTTTGTTTACCCGCGGGTTTTACCCGCGTCCCTACCAATTGGAATCGATTTACGAACAAAAGTAAACATGAAAGTCTCCTGAGTTTACAGTTACATGCATACTGTTAGGTATATGTACACGCATACATGAATATGAAGATGATTTAAGGAACCTTAAACCGTTATTTAATCACCCCATTCTCTGAGAATTTAGTTTCTCCTCTTTTGCACTAAAGCATGTCACAAAAATCACACACATGTACCTTTTATGTACGTATGAATGTATGTATGTACATATACCATGAATAAGGGAAAATTCCATTCGACTTGCACTTACTACGTATGCAAGCGACACATGACAGCCGAATGAACACGAGCAGTCAAACAACAAACAAAGCTCTCCCGGTAATAGGTCACCGCTAGCCAGCCCCGGCCCAGTGTGTTCGCTTCTGGAAGCATCTAGAAGGTTCTAGATTCTAGAATACAGATATTTCGTTGAGGGCATCCGGGGTGGGATTTCGACTTACCGCCACCATAGCCAAGCGTCTCCGCTTACACTTTTTAATCTTATCATAAGAGCAACATTTAATCGTTCTTCTTATCGCTCCTTTTGTTCTGGCCCTGCAATAAGTTATCGTTCTTGTATGCTTTGTGACACTGCCTTTGTGTTAAATCTCCACGGTTTGTTTGCGTATATAATCTTTTTTACTGCGTCTTAAAAATGTTTGCACTCGGTGCTGAAACACCCAATCTGAGCACTGATCCTTAAATATTTGCATTTGCTGACGCTGTCACGTCGCCCGTCCCCGTGTGTTTGACAATGTTACACAAGCGATCCAATTACGTGTGCACAGATAGCCCTCGGCTATCTAGAGATCTAATCTGCACTGGATGCTAAAATGTTTTTGTCTACAGGGACAAACAACTACGCTATTCACCTGTATATCAAATTTGTCTGCCGTATTCAACTACTTGGCCACGTGATTGCCGCTATAAAGTTGGTTTAAAAAATACCATGCTTTACATATGTATGTACAATCCAGACAGTGAGACCCGTTATCATTTGGAAACTTGTTTATGGAAACTAAATTTCGATTGGGTTGGCATTGTTTTCCGTATTTATTGTTCGCAGATTATTTTTATTGATTTGCGTGAAACGTCGTACACGTGCTGCCAAAAAAAAACACAGACAGCATTTAGGTTAAATAAATCTTGATCATGAGCAAATATATTATTTCTTTAATAGGCTTTTCCGAAATCTAAGAATATTCAGCCCGATTTATCGCCACGAGAAGGGCCTCCATTTGGCGGCGTTTAGCCATGCAAACTTACTTAGAATTGCAAATTTACATATGTATGTATGTATTTTCACCTTATTTATTTGCTATTTCGGGAAGGTACGCTGTCTGACCTTGGGACAGAGGCCTTTAGTAAGACTGAAGAAAGTTATTCTTTTAGGATACATATGTATGTCAGTCTAAGTGTTCGAGCTTCTATTTCAAATAGAATGCTTTTCTTTCGTACTTATACCTATTCATAGACAGCAGCCCATTTATCTGATAAATGATGCCGCCATAGCGTGTATGTCGTCAGTTGCCAGCCAACGCTCAACGCTGCGCCACGGGCAAACGGGAAACAATTCAGCTTTAGGCAAGAGAAAAACTCAAACGGAGGTAGAAAACAAAATCCGATCCGGATAAGATCTTTCGATGTAAACCCCAGTCCTCAATAAGAAACACCAGCAACTATTCTGTGATAAGCAAAGTTAAGTGGGAGACAACTGAAGCTGTGATAAACTCCCGGACAACTAACTACTCCTATAGTGCCCAGCCACATATGTGACATCGATCAACATGCAGCCAGTGCAACAGATGCAGTGGTACGTCGTCACACTACCTACATACATATGTACATATGTCTATATAGATAACATTTAATAGCAATACATTAAAATCCCATATCATTCCATCTATTCGATGAAGATGCATCCAATAGGGTGTTAGTCGGGTGACGTACTAAGCAGGCCCGCTCTTGTGTGGGGGCCTACGATTGAGATTGTGCTGGGAGCTTTCACTCTGACTGGCTCTCAATTTAAAATGCCTTGCCAAGTGCGCAGTTTGCTTATTTAATTGGTTGTCGGCATGTGCATGGATGAGAAAAACAAAATACTTTGCATATTTCGTCGTCTGCCCGGTCAGCCGGCAAGCAATAATACATTCATAGGTGGTGTGTTTGTATGTGTCGTCCTCTTCCTTTATTGTTTGACTAACACTCGGGAGGAACACAGAACACAAATGCGAATAAGTGAATAAAGAGAGCTGTCCGTCGACAGTCCACATGCCAATTTAATACTGTCATGGAATTGCTCTCTTTGTATAATATTCGAGGTTGCGCAGAACTAACCGAATGTGATCCACTAACAATTGTAGATCTGTCTCTTGTCTGTCGTCCGCTCCCCTCCCCTGAAAAATACTCGACGAATAGTGAAATAAAGAGAGCTATCCGTCGACAGTCAAGTTAAGCCGATTGTAATACTGTCATGGAATTGCTCTCTTTGTATAATATTCGAAAAGCGCCGACAAATGTGCATAGTTTAATAACTTGTACTTCGTGCAAACGGTGGTGGCTGGTTCTCGTTAACTTCTTTTTTTGCAGGCTAAAATATTACATGTTTCTATATTAAAATTTTCTGTTTGTATGCATATAATTGCTTTTAATCTTCTTGATTTACCAAGTACACACTTTACAATTGTGTTGCCTTTCAACAATTTCGTCCCGCCCGCTAATAAAAGAACGCCCTAGCTTAAATATTAAAAAGAATGCTCAGCTCAAATCCTTGAGCATCCTTACAAACCGCCGCGTCCACGTCCGCCAGTTGGTCCGCCTTGCCAAGCTCCGCGTCCGCCACCGCCTGGGGCACCAGGAGGGCCCCCGCTACCTCGTCCTCCGCCTGGAGGGCCGCCTCTGCCACGACCACGAGCTGGAAATCGCCCAAACGTTAATATGGAAGCTGCATGACGCGCCCAAAGCGAAGATTACTCACCCTGTGCACGCAGAATGGCCGCCTTTCCGCGGCCGGCCGTCCCTCCCAGGCCCTTCCCCGTCTGTTTCTTGAACATCGGTGCGTTCTTCAACATGTCCGGAAGGATCAGAAAACGGATTTTCGAGCCGCGTATGTAGACATTCTCCAAATTGCCCGTGCGTCCGTCCCGGTAGGTGACTGTAATCTGTGTCATTTGACAATTCATGTTGTCTTCGGCTTCGATGAGTTTGCCTCGGTACACTTCGCCGGTAATGGTTTCGCAAGTGATTATGTGGCCTTCAGCCTCGTGTAAAACCTTAATGGGTACTCCGATCGACATTATTGCGTTACCTTAAAATGTTTTCCGCACGTTTTAAGCTCTTAATTATTGATTTTCTGCAGTTCGACGCCGCTCAAATATTTTTACGAATTTTCTTTGCTCAAGCGTTTACGAGAAGTGTGTGTGTATGTGTCTGCCGCGGTTTTGACAGCTGCCTACCGCCATGTTGTACGCGTGAGCGCAGGGCTGTATTTTTGCCTCACGACACTCACGTCCCTATCGATATATTTTATCGTTAGTCAGCCCTCAATTTAGATAAGGGAGCCCGCGGATCTAATCGTTGAAAAATAAACACGTATGAATGTGCATGTACTTATACTTTTGTCATCATTAAAGCGTATTCCATTAATTGCTTATATATTGCTGATAAGAGTACCGTCGTTGTGGCTGTTAGTTTGCCCTCAGTTATTGCGCCGTTAAGCAGTTTTTCTCGCCACCAATTAACTCCAAGATGTTTTGGTAAATTTTGATTCTACAAAATCGAGGAAGGCACAGCTCTCAACTCCGTTGAGCATTGAGGTTCAACCGACTTTTTTTTTAAATTTTGTTTGCTCTTTTCGTCCACAGCGACCCAATGTTTAGTAGTATTGTTAGAAGAGATTTTAATGATAGTGGAATTGCCGATGGCAAGTTCCGCACCATTTCGACTTCGTCTTGCGCTACGAACATGTCGAATGAGTCCTACCGCATCTCTCTCGGCGTAGGGCCTCTGTGGTGGTCCTGATGTCCCTGTCCACCACAGAACAGATCACGATAGGGCATCGCTCTTAACGGGTAAGCACTGCTAATGGATAATGATTTTGTGTTCGTTAGCTAGACTTTTTCGTTTATTTCACAGGCTACAGCCGTAAGTCTTCGGTCGACTCGGCTGGTGGCAGCTTGTACGAGGCCAGTTCCCGGTCTTCATCGCCCTCCTCTTCGTCAGAATGCTCTGATTCGGAGTCGCACAACGATATCCATTCGTTGTGCTCGGACGATGATTGCCAGGAGGTGCTGCGCCAGATCTTGCAACATGACCAGCCGGTGCAGATTTCCATCAAGCTGCATGTGACCGAAGACCAGTATACGAATTGGATATCGATTTTGAACCCAGTAAACAACATTCTATATGTCGCCTTCCCCAAGGATCTACCGCCAGCTGGCTCCAAGGAGACCTTCCTCTCCTTGCTAGAGTTTGCCGAGGATAAGCTTGAGGTGGACGGCATTGTAATGGCCATGCGCAAAGACCATCCGGAGCGCACACGTTTAATTGAGGCGTTTTTGTTTATGGGTTTTGAGCCAATGTCTAGAAAGGCACCACAGGCCCCACCATCGGCCATTAATGACAAAGATAACTACTATTTTCTCTACACCATCGAGGGGTAGGTCTACGGCGCGAGAAACGATTTCCGAAGCAAAGCATAACCTTTATATTATTACAACACCAATTTATCCACAAACTGCAATATAAGTGGCAGCATCTGCAGATATTACACCACGCCACCCCACCCAGCATCATACATACCACCTGACATATTGTTTCCAATGTGTTCAACTCAATGAAAGCAAATTATTTTTTTTAAACCTTGGTGTATATGTTATCGAAAATCGTTTTTTAACACGTTTTTAGAGCGGCCCGGACCTAATTATTGTGGTAGTCGTTTTATAATTCCCACTACTAATCTATTTTCCAACGCCACGTTAAGAGCAAGCTTAAATTGTCCTAAACTATTACATACAACTATAACCAAAATATAAAACCCATAAAAATGTAAAAAAAAATGTTAAAAACAAAAAAATATTACAAAAAAATTCACAATTTATTAATCATAAGTTTAATTTGTAAATTAACCAATATTTTTGGATTTATGTTTTTTCGCCTATTCTTTGTATTCATTTTTTTTTCAATCAGTTTATTTCAATTATATTTAACCACATGGGAATGAATCATAATGGTAATCCCAATTTTTTGTATACTATCAATTATTTTATTTATATTTTTATTAACATTTTGTACGCCTATTTGTTTGCGAAGAAAAGAGAAACAGTTCTGCAAGGAAACATGCAAAGGGAAACACACATATTCATGTATAAGGTAGTGCACCTACGCCAGTAATACATACTATATATGCAGATACAATATTAATAAAACTATAAATCAATAGATTCAACAACAATAATCTATCAAATGTGTGTACTTCCTTTATTCGCGCGTTTATATAATTATTGTAAAAGATTTGCAGGCTTGGGCGCAAGGGGAAAATATTATATATTATTCTTAAGTGGAACATGCCAGAGCCTCATGATTATGGTTTACCGCAGACAACTGACTGTCTGGTATTACCCCTCTTTTATACCCTGTACTCTAAGAGTAAATAGGGTATATTGTATTTGTGCACAAAGTATGTAACGCAGAGAAGGGAACGTTTCCGACCCCATAAAGTATATATATTCTTGATCAGCATCAATAGCCGAGTCGGTTGAGCCATCCAAATTTAAATTTTGAAATAAACTTGTGTCAGTGCGATATCACACCAGTCTGGATGAAAAATTGTGGCTCTAGTTCTCATAGTCTCTGAGAACTAGCCGACAAACAAAACAGACGGACGGACAAACACAAGGTTTTTGGGACTACTTTTTAGCTGCATAAATCAGCTTCAGAAAAACAAAGGATCTAAGATACTTAAGTTATGTAAAAATACACAAAGCTACTTTTGAAAAACCTTAAAACCAAAATACCAGACTTAAATATACCATAATTAATTAAATATACCATAATACATTAAAAAACCGATATCTATCAGAAAAAAAAGGTTTGGTCCTTGAGGAAAAAAAAAGTTCGTTTTTGTGTTATCTAAGGCTCCATAGGTACATACATACTTATGTATGTATCACAGGATGGTAACATACATATAAATGTAGATACATATTCATATGTACATATACTGACTAAGTAACGGGTATACAAGTAGTGACGCATACGAAGCGTCTCACAAACGCTCCTCTTTCTTTCGTAATTTTGAGTGGAAATCGGTTTTCTGTGAATGCAACACATAATATATTGAGCTTATCTTACCAAATAATACAACTTTACTCTCATACGTAATCTGTCATCTACATTTACAACACTTCTCACACCAACAATCTCCTTTAGCTCGCCCCCATTCCCTAGACCCACACACTGCAGACTCACGGCAGAGGCAGAGGCCGCTGACTAAACGAAGCTGAGTGTGAAAGCGAATGTGAAAAAACAACAAAAGCTGCGGAACGGGGTGGGTTAAGCCACTGCAAATTAATTTCTTCATTCTGGGTATAATAATTATCTAATCGGATCTCAATTTGGTGATCTGATAGATATGGCCATTCCCTACGGAATGGCGTTTTGAGTTTTCTTTTATCTTTAAAATTGTAGCTTTGTGAGGTTTTCGCCGGGGCGGGGCTAATTTTTGAAATACACTGATTTCAGTGTGAGCATACAGCAGTCTGGAGCCTAAATTTGGTGGCTCTAGCTCTTATAGTCTCTGAGAACTAGCCAACAACCGTTATTCCCCACAAATACAATATACCCTATTTACTCTTCGAGTACCGGGCATAAAAATGTATCTGTAAAGTATGAACTTGGTAACAAGGTTGATAAGGCGGCAGCAAATCGAGAAGCTATGTACGTCGTTTACATACAACTTCGAATAAAGCAGTACAAAATCAACATATTAAACTATTAAAGCTTACAATTACAATAACAGTTTTTATTTGTATATTTTTTTTTCCAACCCCAAAGGTTAGGCCACCCCTCATTCTGCACATTTTGCGGTAGATCAGGGTCAAAACGAATTCTCTGTCGATCGCACTTCAGCAAGTCAATAATAACAATAAAAATAGTAACAATAAAAAAAAATATAAATAAATACATATGCATAATTGGCTGTGTGTCCTGCACGCACTAATTAATTTTTCCCAATCCCACTGAGCCGAGACGTTTCGCATACCTTTATGTCTAATCTATAAAGTGTACGGTTAGTGGTACTGGAATATCAATATATATATGATTATGATTTTCGTCGGTATATTTTGCGGTATATTACTGACGGTCAGACGGTATAGTTTATCGATAAATCCGCGGTCACACTGATTGAAATGGCTGCCGCATTGAAGAAATAAAAAAGAACTTTTCGTTTTGCTAACCCGGGAAAATTTGTAAAGTTAAGGTTAAGGTACCATTAAATACTATCAATTCGGTAAGTGCCAAAGTGGATGAGCGTATCTTCTCATTTAAACTTAGAATTTTTGCTTTTAACCCCACTTATGTGGCATTTCTGTGTTGGTGAAAATTGCAAAGCCGCTAGTGTCGGCGGCACGGCATCGACGTTTCGCACGGAGAAAACGTGTACATTAGTACATACGTATATGTGTCATATCATACTAATACCTTCTATAATTTACCGAACGCCCAGGACTGTGCATTGCGTGCAACTGAAAGATGTCCATTCCGCCTTATATGATACCGCAAAATGCATGGGCCGCTCAGTTGATGGCCCAGCAGGCCTATGCTGCTGCACACGCACAGCAGGCACAATTGCATGCGCAGCAGCAGATGGCCAACCAGATACAGCAAATACCGCCACCCGGAGCACCCTTACCACAGGCAAGCGGACATTCTAATGGGATACCGATCCCGGCTGGTGGCCAGGGGCAGTCTGGTCTGGGACAAATTCCCACGCCAAAGCCGGACATACTTACAGAGGATAAGCTGCAGGAGAAGGCACTGAAGTGGCAGAATCTGCAGTCCAAGCGTTTCGCTGAAAAGCGAAAGTTCGGCTTCGTTGACACCCAGAAGGAGGACATGCCTCCGGAGCATATAAGAAAAATTATACGTGATCACGGTGACATGACCTCGCGCAAGTATCGCCACGACAAGCGTGTTTATTTGGGCGCTCTGAAGTACATGCCACATGCAGTGCTGAAGCTTCTGGAAAATATGCCCATGCCATGGGAGCAGATTCGGGACGTGCAGGTGCTGTACCACATCACTGGTGCCATAACCTTTGTCAACGAAATTCCCTGGGTGATTGAGCCGGTTTACATTGCTCAGTGGGGGTAAGACGCAGCCAATTTCCTCCATAAAATTTGTGCTAATGTCAAAAATGTTTTACTCAACAGAACAATGTGGATAATGATGCGTCGCGAAAAGCGTGATCGACGCCACTTCAAGCGAATGCGATTTCCGCCGTTCGACGATGAAGAGCCGCCGCTGGACTATGCGGACAACGTATTGGACGTGGAGCCATTGGAAGCCATTCAAATTGAGCTCGATAATGATGAGGATAATGCCGTGTACAAATGGTTCTACGACCATCGTCCCCTCGTGGAGACGCCGTGAGTTACATACTGAGTAAATTAATTCTGTATTGTGTGTAACATTGAAATCCACTCTACCCTCGTTTCTAGCTATGTGAATGGTTCCACGTACCGCAAGTGGAACCTGTCCCTGCCGCAGCTGGCTACTCTCTATCGGCTGGCGAACCAGCTGCTCACTGACCTGGTCGACAACAACTTTTTTTACCTATTCGACCCGAAGAGTTTCTTTACAGCCAAAGCTTTAAACATGGCCATACCGGGCGGACCCAAATTCGAGCCACTCATCAAGGATAATAATGTTGGGTAAAGAAGGCTTTTGCAGCGACGGATCCCGGTCGTTCTTTAACCCCGTTTCTCCTTCCAGGGATGAGGACTGGAATGAGTTCAACGACATCAATAAGGTGATCATCCGACAACCCATTCGTACGGAGTACCGCATTGCTTTTCCCTACCTGTACAACAATATGCCGCACTTTGTGCATTTAAGCTGGTAAGAACAATGCAAGGAAAGAGAGAGAGAGAGACGCGGTGGGGGTGGCTAGAGGGATTTACGCGCCGGAAGCATTTCCAATTGAGAACTCCACTGGAAACGGTTCGTACAGCGATAGATAAACGACACTCCCAGTTTACTACTAATTTGGCGATTAAAGGGAGTTGCAAGGAATATGTTCGTGACGATTGAGTAGCATAAATCGTGGCTGCTGATACTTGCATACACTGGAACAGGACTAGAAGGGTGCCTGTGGGATTCTGCAATACGATATTTATTTCGCATGTTTACATCTTACTTTCAGGTATCACACACCGAACGTGGTCTACATCAAGACCGAAGATCCCGATTTGCCTGCGTTTTACTTTGATCCTCTCATCAATCCCATTTCGCATCGCAATGTAAATTCCAAACTGCAGGAGCCCCTTCCCGATGACGATGAGGACTTTACGCTTCCGGATGAAGTGCAGCCGTTCCTGCAGGACACGCCGCTGTACACGGACAACACCGCAAATGGAATTGCTTTGCTATGGGCACCGCGCCCCTTCAACATGCGCTCAGGACGGTCCCGTCGAGCCATAGATGTGCCGCTGGTCAAGTGCTGGTACAAAGAGCACTGCCCACCTGGCCATCCGGTCAAGGTGCGCGTCAGCTATCAGAAATTGCTGAAATATTATGTACTAAATGCTCTGAAGCACAGAAAGCCCAAGCCACAAAAGAAGCGGTAAGATATATATTTGCATTCTCTCGATTGCCCCTCTCCAAATCATTTAGGATTAACAGCAAAGTTGACCATATAGGCACAAATCATTTATGACTAACATCTGTCTATGGACTATCTGTACATATAGGCACTGTTTATTAAGGACTAGAGCTAGCTAGTAGATGATATAGATGACATAATCAAATATTTTATTTTCTAGATATCTATTTCGGTCATTCAAGGCCACGAAGTTCTTCCAGACTACCACCTTGGACTGGGTTGAGGCTGGGTTGCAGGTTTGCCGTCAGGGATACAACATGTTAAATCTTTTGATTCATCGCAAAAATCTAAACTATTTGCATCTGGACTACAATTTCAACTTGAAGCCGGTGAAGACATTGACTACGAAGGAGCGGAAAAAGTCGCGTTTCGGCAATGGTAAGCATTAGGAAGATCTTCTCCAATAGGTAGTTCGGATTGTTTGTACTGTTTCTTTCTTTTATTTTAATTTTAGCGTTTCATTTGTGCCGAGAGATCCTGCGTCTGACCAAGCTCATCATCGACTCCCACGTGCAGTATCGTCTGAATAATGTTGATGCTTTCCAGCTCTCCGATGGCCTGCAGTACATATTCGCGCATGTCGGTCAGCTCACTGGCATGTATCGCTACAAGTACAAGCTGATGAGGCAGATAAGAATGTGCAAGGATCTGAAGCACTTGATCTACTACCGCTTCAACACGGGACCCGTGGGCAAAGGGCCTGGCTGTGGCTTCTGGGCACCCGGATGGCGTGTGTGGCTGTTTTTTATGCGCGGCATTACCCCACTGCTGGAACGCTGGCTGGGAAATCTACTGTCCCGTCAGTTCGAAGGACGCCACTCCAAGGGCGTAGCCAAAACCGTGACCAAGCAGCGCGTCGAATCTCACTTCGATCTGGAGCTGCGCGCCTCTGTCATGCACGATATTGTTGACATGATGCCTGAGGGCATCAAGCAAAACAAGGCTCGCACAATTCTGCAGCATCTGTCTGAGGCTTGGCGTTGCTGGAAAGCCAACATTCCGTGGAAGGTACCCGGCCTCCCCATACCCATCGAAAATATGATCCTACGCTATGTCAAAATGAAGGCCGACTGGTGGACAAACACGGCCCACTACAATCGAGAGCGCATACGACGAGGTGCCACCGTAGATAAGACTGTCTGCAAGAAGAATCTGGGACGCCTCACTCGACTCTATCTGAAGGCGGAGCAAGAACGACAGCATAATTACCTCAAGGATGGCCCGTACATATCGCCAGAAGAGGCGGTGGCCATCTACACCACCACCGTGCACTGGCTAGAGTCGCGTCGCTTTGCGCCCATACCATTCCCTCCGCTCTCCTACAAGCACGACACAAAATTGCTGATCCTGGCACTTGAACGACTGAAAGAGGCCTACAGCGTGAAGTCCCGCTTAAATCAAAGCCAGCGCGAGGAGCTTGGACTCATAGAACAAGCATACGACAATCCCCACGAGGCATTGTCTCGTATCAAGCGTCATCTGCTAACGCAGCGAGCTTTCAAAGAGGTTTGCGCAATTAATTTATCGATCGATCTTCGGTCTACAGATTTTGCATTCGATTGCAGGTGGGGATCGAGTTCATGGACCTGTACAGCCATCTGATACCCGTGTATGAGGTGGAGCCGCTGGAGAAGATCACAGACGCATATCTCGACCAGTACCTCTGGTACGAGGCAGACAAGCGGCGGCTGTTTCCGCCCTGGATCAAGCCCAGCGACACCGAGCCCCCGCCGCTACTGGCCTATAAGTGGTGTCAAGGTAGAAGTTAGATAAGAACAAAGGTTTTTTTTTACCGGTATGTGGACTATTTTGGGCATTTTGGGTGTGTGATTTGTGGCAAAGTGATATGTATTTAATCATCCCCTTGTTGCAAACCTCACGCCAAAGATGATACCCACACCGATAGTCGAAAATAATGATCTTGTGAACTGAATGAGAACTGCCATCAACGCAACTGAGATGCAGCGAAGAAGAATCTTATTCTGAAAGAAGCCTTGCCCTAAAGAAGAACATTTTACTTTTCAATCCTCAGGCATCAACAATCTGCAGGAGGTCTGGGATGTGGGCGAGGGAGAGTGCAATGTGCTGCTGGAGTCGCGATTTGAGAAGCTGTACGAGAAGATTGACTTGACTCTGCTTAACCGTCTGTTGCGCCTGATCGTGGACCATAACATCGCCGATTATATGACGGCTAAGAACAATGTGGTGATCAACTACAAGGACATGAACCACACCAACAGCTATGGCATTATTCGCGGTCTGCAGTTCTCTTCGTTCATAACGCAATACTATGGCTTGGTTCTGGACCTCCTGGTCCTGGGCCTGCATCGTTCCAGCGAGATGGCCGGACCCCCGCAAATGCCGAATGACTTTCTTACCTTTCAGGACGCAGTCACGGAGACGGCTCATCCTATTCGGCTGTACTGTCGCTACGTCGATCGCATACACTTGTTTTTCAGATTCTCGGCGGAGGAGGCTCGCGACCTTATCCAGCGCTATCTCACGGAGCATCCCGATCCGAACAATGAAAACATTGTCGGCTACAACAATAAGAAGTGCTGGCCCCGCGATGCTCGAATGCGTCTGATGAAGCACGACGTCAATCTGTAAGTGTTCCAAGTCATCAAAACAAATTTTAGAGTAGAAAAAAACGTATGTTATTTATTATGTGTTTGCAGAGGTCGCGCGGTATTCTGGGACATTAAGAACCGGTTGCCCCGCTCTGTGACCACCATTGGCTGGGAGAGCACCTTTGTTTCCGTATATTCCAAGGACAATCCGAACCTGCTTTTCAACATGAGCGGCTTTGAGTGTCGAATTTTGCCAAAGGTTCCTATCCGTCCTCCACAACTTTCTTCCAGGTTCAGAAAATAATTAAGTTTACTTCTCTTAACACAGTGCCGCACCCAAAACGAGGAATTCACACATCGTGATGGCGTGTGGAATTTGCAAAATGAAATAACCAAGGAGCGCACAGCTCAATGTTTCCTGCGCGTGGACGACGAATCGCTGGGACGCTTCCACAACCGTGTGCGCCAGATCTTGATGGCCTCCGGTTCCACCACATTCACCAAAGTAATTATTATACACTAGGTGGGAGTCACTGTTTGTACGGATTGAACGATTTTTGCCCTGCAGATTGTCAATAAATGGAACACGGCCCTCATTGGCCTGATGACGTACTTCCGCGAGGCTGTGGTCAACACCCAGGAGCTACTGGATCTACTGGTCAAGTGTGAGAACAAGATTCAGACGCGCATCAAGATTGGCCTCAACTCAAAAATGCCCTCGCGCTTCCCGCCCGTGGTGTTCTACACCCCAAAGGAGCTGGGTGGTCTCGGCATGTTGAGCATGGGCCACGTTCTCATTCCGCAATCCGACCTGCGCTGGTCCAAGCAGACGGATGTGGGGATAACCCATTTCCGATCTGGTAGGTTCAGCTTGAATGTGTACAAATTATAGATGTTTTGGTAATGGCTTTGACTTTCGTTTCTACATTAAGGCATGTCCCATGACGAGGATCAGCTTATTCCGAATCTGTATCGCTACATTCAGCCGTGGGAGAGTGAGTTCATTGATTCGCAGCGCGTCTGGGCGGAGTACGCGCTGAAGCGCCAGGAGGCCAACGCTCAGAACCGTCGCCTCACACTGGAGGACCTTGAAGACAGCTGGGATCGTGGTATTCCACGGATCAACACGCTCTTCCAGAAGGACCGACACACTTTGGCCTATGACAAGGGCTGGCGGATACGCACTGAGTTCAAGCAGTATCAGGTGCTGAAGCAAAACCCCTTCTGGTGGACCCATCAGCGCCACGACGGAAAGCTGTGGAACCTCAACAACTATCGGACGGACATGATCCAAGCACTGGGTGGCGTGGAGGGAATTCTCGAACACACACTATTCAAGGGCACCTACTTCCCCACGTGGGAGGGTCTTTTCTGGGAGAAGGCTTCTGGGTTTGAGGAGTCCATGAAGTACAAGAAACTGACCAATGCACAGCGCTCTGGTCTGAATCAGATACCGAATCGCCGCTTCACACTCTGGTGGTCGCCGACGATCAACCGCGCCAACGTCTATGTGGGCTTTCAGGTGCAGTTGGATTTGACTGGCATATTCATGCATGGCAAGATACCGACGCTCAAGATATCGCTGATCCAAATATTTCGTGCTCACTTGTGGCAGAAGATACACGAGTCAATTGTGATGGACTTGTGTCAGGTGTTTGATCAGGAACTAGACGCTCTTGAAATCGAAACGGTGCAGAAGGAGACGATCCATCCGCGTAAGTCCTACAAGATGAACTCCTCCTGTGCCGACATTCTATTGTTCCCCGCCTACAAGTGGAACGTGTCGCGACCCTCTCTGCTGGCCGACACAAAGGACACCATGGACAACACGACCACCCAGAAGTATTGGCTAGATATTCAGCTGCGCTGGGGAGACTATGATTCGCACGATGTAGAGCGCTACGCGAGGGCCAAGTTCCTTGATTACACCACAGACAACATGTCTATTTATCCTTCGCCAACGGGCATCCTAATTGCCATCGACCTGGCCTACAACCTGCACTCGGCATATGGCAATTGGTTCCCGGGCTGCAAGACCCTTATCCAGCAGGCCATGGCCAAGATTATGAAGGCCAATCCGGCACTCTATGTCCTGCGAGAACGCATCCGCAAGGCTCTGCAGCTGTACTCGTCTGAGCCAACGGAACCCTACTTGAGCTCACAGAACTATGGCGAGCTGTTCTCCAATCAGATCATATGGTTTGTCGACGATACCAACGTGTATCGCGTCACCATCCACAAGACATTTGAGGGCAATCTGACAACGAAGCCGATAAACGGGGCCATATTTATATTCAATCCGCGGACAGGTCAGCTTTTCCTAAAGATTATCCACACTTCGGTATGGGCGGGGCAGAAGCGATTGGGCCAGTTGGCCAAGTGGAAGACGGCTGAGGAGGTGGCAGCCTTAATTCGTTCGCTTCCCGTGGAGGAGCAGCCGAAGCAGATCATTGTGACCCGCAAGGGTATGCTGGATCCTCTCGAGGTGCATTTGCTCGACTTTCCCAACATTGTAATCAAGGGCTCCGAGCTGCAGTTGCCTTTCCAGGTTAGTGCCCAGATACAGCTGCATCTACTGACATACGGGTCAAACTAATCGTAACTAATATATTTTCATTGTAGGCCTGCTTGAAAGTCGAGAAGTTTGGCGATCTGATTCTGAAGGCCACCGAGCCCCAAATGGTTCTCTTTAACCTGTACGATGACTGGCTAAAGACAATTTCCTCGTACACGGCATTTAGTCGTCTCATTCTGATCTTGCGCGCCTTGCATGTGAATACGGAGCGTACGAAAATAATCCTTAAGCCAGACAAGACCACTATTACCGAGGCCCATCATATCTGGCCGACATTGACGGATGAGGAGTGGATCAAGGTGGAGGTGCAGCTCAAGGATCTCATACTGGCCGACTACGGAAAGAAGAACAACGTGAACGTGGCCTCTCTCACACAGTCTGAAATCCGCGACATTATTCTGGGCATGGAGATCAGTGCGCCATCGGCGCAACGCCAGCAGATAGCAGAGATCGAGAAGCAGACAAAGGAGCAGAATCAACTGACGGCGACCACCACGCGCACCACAAACAAGCACGGCGACGAGATCATCACTTCCACCACATCCAATTATGAGACGCAAACCTTCAGCTCGAAAACAGAGTGGCGCGTAAGAGCCATCTCTGCCACTAATCTGCATCTGCGAACGAATCACATATATGTGAGCTCCGACGACATCAAGGAGACTGGCTATACTTACATTCTGCCCAAGAACATTCTCAAGAAGTTCGTCACCATCTCGGACTTGAGAGCGCAGATTGCGGGCTATCTGTACGGTGTGAGTCCGCCGGACAACCCGCAGGTGAAGGAGATTCGTTGCATTGTGATGCCACCACAATGGGGAACGCACCAGACCATTAACCTCCCCAACACGCTGCCCACCCATCAGTACCTTAAGGACATGGAGCCGCTGGGTTGGATCCACACTCAACCCAACGAGCTGCCGCAGCTGTCCCCGCAGGACATCACGACTCATGCCAAGATCATGCAGGAGAACTCCAATTGGGATGGCGAGAAGACGATTGTAATCACCTGCTCTTTCACTCCGGGCTCATGCTCGCTGACCGCCTACAAACTGACACCGTCGGGCTTCGAATGGGGCTCAAAGAACACGGACAAGGGCAACAACCCCAAGGGCTACCTGCCTTCTCACTACGAGAGAGTTCAGATGCTGTTGTCGAACAAATTCCTTGGCTTCTTTATGGTGCCCGCGCAGAGCAGCTGGAACTACAACTTCATGGGAGTCCGGCACGATCCCAACATGAAGTACGAACTGCAGCTGGCCAACCCAAAGGAGTTCTATCACGAACTGCATCGCACCTCGCACTTCCTGCTTTTTTCGAACCTCGAGGATGGTGGCGATGGCGCCGGTGCGGATCGTGAGGATGTCTATGCGTAGACGAATCATTTACCTTTCGTGTTTGTGTTTTCGTTTCTTGCGTACCAACAATTTATTCGTGCTTTCAAAATGTTAGCGACAAGGTACATTTCGTAATAAAATTAAATTCTTTTTCCATCTAAAGTGGCTTTAAGCTCTGGAGCTTGCCACAGTTTCCATAGCAATTCCGAGTTGTATTGGTCGTTGGTTACTTCTTCATTCGTTATCCGCCCTTGATGTGACTCGTGCGTATTGAATCCATTAACTGCCGTCTATTTGTATATTGTATGTGCTTATGTAAAACTTAGGTTAATATAAATATAAACTTCTCTTGTTTTTCTAGGTACTTCGATTGATTGCTGACTCGTTGAGCGCTCTTCTAAGAGCACTTCCACAGCACAATGGCCAAGTTGCCGGCGAAGAATAGGTAGAGAATGTTCTCTGTTTCATACGATACCTCAAAGCCGAAACCCTCGCCAACCACCACGTGCCAAAAGATGCCGAACTTTTTGTCCATGGTCTCCTTAATTATCTTAGCTGCTTGCTGAAACGACACCCAAGAAAACTGTGAGGCTTACCCAATACGCTAAGAAGAATAAGTCGAAAGGTGCACCTGCACCTCCACCACGTACCTCATAGTTGGAAGAATATTTCTCGCACGCGGTGATGCTTAGTTCAATAGCCTCCGTTCGCATTTCCTCGTTCATGTCCGAGTGCTGTGTGGAAAATCGAATAGTGAGATTAATCTTGCGAGCCACAATGGCTTTCAGCTCTTCCGCAAACCTTTACTAGAGGATAGACGTAGAGGATTTTCTTTTCACCCTCCTTGCCGCCTTCACCCTCATCGGCCATGTCTTCAATTTGCTGAAATTGACGATTGAACAAACCACACAAGACTCGTCACAATCAGAGGAACGCGACGAACTAATGTTGTAAAAATTGAGTTAAATTCCGATTTACATGTGACACACGACTCAAGGTGAACGAAGCACAGGGCTACATGTACCTATATAAGTCTACTGCTCTCTGTTTATGAATTTTTGTTATTTTTTGCCTTATTTGTCACGCCAGCGCCAGGGCCACTAGGACGCGACTACTATTGCTACTATGGCAATTCGTTCTTAGCTATTATTTGCTTGGCCCCCTTGTCAGGAGCGAGGTTCACTTACAACTGACGATGACGCTCCGGCACCGAGCTGACGCTCCCCATTAACTGTATTAGGGGAAGGCAACCGCAAAGTTCCGCAGAGTGCCAGGCTGCCAGGGGTGTAGCATAGTTTATGCAGGGCTTATGCATTAATAGCTGAGGAAATTTCTATGTGCGCTGCGTTTGCGCCAAGTCTGCATGTTTAACTCTCCCCTGCTCAACCCCCTCCTTGCTGCATCCCTCTATTGTTGCAAACAAAAGCAATTTCCGTGCGGGTGCCACAGCTAGACAGACGACACGGCGTCGTCATCGTCATCATCATCTTGGCGGCAAAGGCAACCCCAATTCTCGCAATGTTTTCCCAGTGATAGTGGTCAGTCGAGATGGGAGAGGAAGGGGCGGTTGATTCCCTTAACTGAAAATGTGCTTGCAAAAACTCACCCTGCACGAAGATAAATATAAAAAAAATAAGCAGATTTCGTCCTGCTAAGATTTATTCAAAGTGTCTACATAGGAGATGATATAATGTTATATATTCTTAAGATGGTTCCCAACCTGAGGAGCGAAGCCTTAATTGATATCCCAAAACTCCTCGTCCTCGCCGGGTAATTCGACCTCATTCAAGTTCTGCTCAGTGGGGTCACTATGGGATGAATTTACTGAATCTTCGTCGGAATCCTCTATCAAAACAAATTCATCTTCGACATGAATTAATTTATTTTTTAGGATGTCGTCAAGGATCTCTCTTGTAGCACCCGTGCGATGGATGCGTGACAGTAGTATCTCAATTGGCATTTTATGTGTGCCCGCACAGTCGCACTCTCCGCGTTGATTCTTGCAGTATTGCTTAAAACAATTCAGCTCATATTGGACATCGTCCCATATACGTTGCTCCTCGCTCCTCGTATCCACATGAAAAGGATAGGTGACGCCATGCATGAGCTGGTAGCGATTGGTAGTCAGTAGCGATATGGTCGATTTCCCCACATTTGAAGTGAGCGGATGCTCTAGTCGAATTTCGAGCATGTCCTTGCGAACGAATAGCGCTATCTGCGACACATGACCCACGGTCTCGTAACCCTGGGGCGGATTGCCCACACCCATTAAGGCGAACATGTAATTGGGATATTTCTGGACAATTCCCATGCACCACGTCTTGAATTGTTCCCGCGTCCATTCAAACTTGTGATCCTCGTGGCGAAATCCATTCGGCAAAAGGGGATTGAAGCGCGTGAAGATGACGTTATAGTCTGAATTCGGAGTGCTAAATATAGCAATTTTGGGTTGCATGAATCCAAAAACATTCACTGGGATTTTCGCCAGCACATCGTCATATACGTGCTCGATGCTGCAAGTAAATGTAAATAAATGTGTATGGTATGGGATTGTATTCCTTGACAGCGCAGCTTACAGTTCCAACGCAATAACAGCATCTGTGTCCCGTAATTCTTCCGAGGAATCAGCCACGTTTCCCTGCACAACCTGCACTTTCAAGGCACACTGGCGTTGCCTAATATGGTCGGACACCAATGGGTCTATTCGATTCATGTACTTCCTCAGCACTGCTTCGTCAATGTCAACCTACGAAAACCAATTAAGCGAATTAAAACTGCCAACCATGTTACCGCGGTATTATCGATAAAATACACTGAAGTATACCCTTTGATTATCAAACTATAATGTAAATATACCGTACATCTTAAATCATTATCCTCCACGTCGATCTTCTGTTTAATATTACGAGCTGGTTAGGCATCTCAGCTTTAAAAATGTAATTTTACTCGAATTATCATTCCCCTCTTATTTGTACTCATTCTTATTGGATTGAATGCAAAATACGGTTCAAACTAAAAAGGTCAACCAAAAAAAAGAGCAATAAAAGAGCAATAAAATTCGTTGTTGGTCAACCGACAGTACGATATGAGCACCCAACCTACCCTACTATAACTATCTATATCTATCTAGAAACATTCTCGGTATCTATAATCTGCAAAATTTTGTTGAGATGGCAGGCCAACACAGATTGATTTGTTTTTGGATTGATTGGAGCCAGAGATTTTGGTCAATTCGAGGATGTTTATCTCTCCAAGGGCACTTATTCCGTGCAGGATTTTGGGAAAATTTTCTGCGATGAAAATTCCTATGCTGCGAGAAAGAAATATCCCTCAAGATAGAGAGAAAATCACTACGGAAAAGAGAGAAAATCCTTAAGGGACATTTAAAAAATTCTCGAAAAAATTTAAAAGGCGGATGAAATTCATTATATGTACCATTATATACCGATATACTATTAATATACATTGAACTCATTTTCGTAGCTAAAATATATAATATACCGTAAATGGTCACCCTGGTTAGCAGCCATTTACAGTAAACTAATCGGCATTCACAACGACCGATCGCTGAACATCGTGCACATGTGCGTATCTAATAGCCCATTTACACTGACATGGGCTACCTATCGATAGTTGAGTTAACTTTATGTGCGCGATCACCAGGACAACATGATCACCGACCCATGATCCATTTCTTGTGATCGTCCTGGTGAACGCACTTTATCAGAGTATTTGAGGATTGGATTTTGAGAAATGGATCGTGAAAAATTACGATCCATTGAACTCGTGTCCGATCCATTGCTTTAGGCTCATATCGATAGATCAATACTTCGCTTTTATGATAGAAATGCTCAAATTGCATATGTACGAACGTAGTATGCAATTCTATACTGGCGGCGGTGGACGGAGATGATTTGTAAGCGTGTATATTTAAGAAAAACCAAACGCAAAAACAAACAGCCGTTCGTGCCAACATCCTTATTTTCTAAGCCGATTGTATTTACGACGTCGCGATGGTAAGGTAGGGATGGGATCTAAATCCGATCGAGGCCATGCATAATATATAGGTATCAAGGGGTTTTACAGATACAACAAATATTTCTTAATAGAAATAAAAGCGGGTATGTCAAAAAAACTTTGGAGTAGCTAAGAAAAAAGCTAAGACTAAACCTAAGCGTAGAAAGCGTTTGGGCCCTGGTAAGGAACAGGCATTTTCTATTACAATTTGTAATTTTAGGATGGAGAGGAATGCTTTGATATTCTGTTTTCACGGCAAGGACAGCTAATGTTTGGCTGGCAGTCCCTCTGGAGAAGAGAGCCGTTACACATTATTGATAGATTTCGGCATACATTTTATAAATGTTTATGCATAAATAAAAATGCAGATTTTTCGCGATTTGCGTGGGCGGCGGGGGCCGGGGCTAATTTTTTAAATGCATTTGTAACAGTGTGAGCATACTGAAGTCTGGATGCAAAATTTGGTGGCTCTAGGTTTTATAGTCAGGCGATCAACAATACGGACGGACATACAGACATGGCTCTATCGACTCGGCTATTGATGCTGATCAAGAATATATATACTTGGGTCGCTAAACGTTTCCTTCTGTGTGTTACATACATCCGTTATTCCCCACGAATACAATATACCCTATTTACTCTTCGAGTACCGGGTTTAAAAACAATATGGTACAGGTACACAGACTGAGTGCCGGGTATAAAAGTTGTGACGCGTAAGATGCGTCTCACACATCCCTTCTCGTTGTTATATCTAGCGGTGATAGCTCACACCAGAGACAATATAAGAATAAGATGGATAGCGTCATATGATTTTTTTTTTACATTTTTCTGCCTGGCTCCAGCGCTGGGTCCAGGCTCTCGAAAGATGTATGTATGCAAACGTACATATTCTGAATCTGCTTGCATTTATAGGTTATTTTTAAAGTGCTTCGAAACTATTTATTTATGTATGTATGTTCATGTGCAAGGCAACCGACTTTCCAGTCGGACCTTGTAGAACGTTTTGCGAAAAGGAAGCGTTCTTTTATGCTTCCCTGGCAGACTTTGTACCCCAAATAAGCGTTTTTTCATGCATCTTTTTCCACCAAAAACGATTTAATCCAAACAAATTAAGTCAAGGATCTGCACTAGGACAATTTATACATGCTTACAGGTTTCTTGCATGCCGCGGATGTGCTATTTAACGATAGGAACAGTTTAGGAATGTATCTTAATAGGTTCATTTCGAACGTTCTCTTAAGCATACACCATACATACCCAAGGAACAGTTCTAGATGCACGCCAAATATGTCTTCTCCTTTAGGAAACTACAACTGGAAGCGAGATCCGAGCGTTTCACGAAGTTGAAATTTCAACAACCTAAGCGGGCGCTGCCCGCCCACCGAGCGGTGACGTTTCGTTTGTATACTCATCTATACATTGACTGTATCTTCAGTAGTCTAAGCTCAGTACTCAGTTGCACTAACTGTTTGGTCTACCAAATAAAGGATGCTATTCCCATGACAACGATAGGAAATCATAACTGTTTTTTGTTCGGAATTTTTCGCACCGATCAACGAAAGACATACCAGTAAAATGAGACGAATAGTAAAATACCGAGGCAAAAATAAGAATAAGCCTATCTTCTGTCGACAGAAACAAGAAAAAAGGAAGGAAACACGCGCAAGAGGGCTGGAAGAGAGCATTAAGTGAAGACAATTTTAATCTTATCCATGCAGTCGAACGAAAACTGTTTATATGGATATCACATTATAATAATATATGTATTAATATGATAATTTATAATTCTTATACTCGGTACTTATTTTAACAATGTATAAGGAATTAAAAACACATCTTTATTGCATTTCTGTCCCGCCGAAAAGGACTTATCCAATAATTCCGAGCTTTCTCCATGCTTTTTTGTCCTCCTAGCTCCCAGCTAGCTCTCATACAAAATATTAATTTTAACGGATTTCATTTCGAAAGCAAACGCAAAACAGTGTACCCAGAGAGCATGAACTTTTCCCACTTCTGTCATACTAGGCACAGAGCGAAATATATAAATACTGAATACTGGGCTTTAACTCGAGTTTTTACATGTTGCAATAAAGGGGGTTAAGTAGGTTAAGGTCTTAATTTCCCTCGGTATATTTACGGTATGTCTTGAATATGCGAAGGTATATTTCGGTATATTTATGAGGGTCAGACTTTCACACTGCTTGTAACTTGTTACGAAAATAAGTAAAAAATAAAGTGAATAAAAGCGATTTACTCTATGTGAAAAGTAAACGTGATGTGTAGAACGCTGTGTAACGTGTAAAAGAGCTGAAAAAGTAAGCAATAAACTAACTAAATACGGCTATGCACTGTACAATCTGGTTAAAAAGTGGCTTGTATAGGACAGAGAAGGAAAACGTACAAAACAAGAAGAAGAAAGAGTTGGCAATACGTGAGAAAAATAGCTAGAAAATCAATTCAATCAAGTTTTGCTAAGGCAAACGAGTGGAGCTGTAAAATGTTATTAACAATTACTCGAGTGGCAAAATACAACAACCATATGTAATGCTATGTTCTATAATGCCGGGAAGAAAAATCGATTTTTTTCTCCTTTTGTTTGTCTGTTCGTCTGTCCTGTGAGATTTTCCCATTATTGCAGACTTTATTTACACAATCTTGAAGACAATCTGCCATTGCAACATTGCAAACATTTCCGAAAGATTTAAAATTATTTTTGTGTTTGTTTGTACTTTACTTACACACTAATACAACAGAATCGCGGTGCTGTCGGTGTCTATTTGACATTCCCCACTCTACCTGATTTGAAAAAAATGTGCATATGTATATACTCCATGTATGTAAATACAAAGTGTAAAAAAGTGTAAATCAAATGAATTAAAAATTAATGCAACGTGCGTTAAAAATTATGTATTTAACACACCAGACAGAATCTAGTTTACTCTTTACTAATTCCTTTCTGCACTGAAAAGGAATAGGTAACAACACTCAAAACGAAGTTGGATAAAAACAATAACATTTGTGCACGGCACTACCAATCATCTCGACGTTCCTTAATACGCCTTGCTTAAATCTGAGGCGAGACTGAAATATTTCCTAATCCGCTTGAAGCCACGTCCAAAGGGGGGGGGAATCTGCAACACTGACAAACATCGAGATGGGAAAACGGCTCCCATTGGAACGCCCACCGACAGATCGCAACATACGCAAACGAAAGCGGGCGGTGGCCAAAGAAGCCAGCGATAGTGTGACGGAGAAATGCCAGCGCCTCAGCGCGACGACACAAGGGAATGGACATGCATTCCACGAGAACGACGACGAGGACTCATCATCGTCGGGCTCCGCTTTCGGTGTTGAAGTATCGGAAGATGCATTAGTGTTGAGGACCCCTCAAGCTCAAAACCTCCTGTTGGCTGGGGCAAGTTTTGCCAGTGACCACAACCACTCAAACTCAACCGAGTCACCGCGTCCGGTATACACGTTGCGCCCATCTGTCGTCAATGGAACCATACTGAGAGACGTGCTCTCAAAGGCTTGGCGTTTGGGGCGACCCATAGGTGAGTGCAGCCTGCAGTGATACAAATACAAGTCGCTGGTTTTAACCATCATTTTTGCATACAGGCAAGGGCAACTTTGGCGAGATATTCCTAGCATCAGACGACACTGTCTGCCCCGTTAGCTCAGAGAGAGCCAAATATGTCGTCAAAATTGAACCGCACTCAAATGGACCACTGTTCGTCGAGATTCACTGCTTGATCAACACATCTGACAGTCTGACTAAGAGTAAGCTACACCCCAAGGTTTTTTGCTTGATGCTGAGCTTATTATAATTTTTTTGTTGCAGAAATAACCGATGACCACGAGGATGCTTCCAGCATGTCTGCTCGCAGGCAAAATATTAGCAATGGGCCTCCGTCCGGAATACCACGCTACATTGCCTCAGGCACACACTACTTCGGAGATGCACGCTATCGGTTCTTGGTCCTGCCCCGCTTCGATCGCGACCTGCACTCACTTATAAAGAACTCACGGGTGGAACAAAAATGCCTGCTGGTCATCGCTATCCACATAATTAATGTGTTGGAGCATCTGCATGACAAGGGTTATTGTCACAACGATATTAAGGCACAGAACCTAATGATATCCAAGTGTAAATACCTCAAGCAGCAGACAGTTCCTACGGGCAAGGGCAAGGGGGCAAAGAACGAGGGCTACGATGAGCATTACGATGAGAAACAGCAGACGACAGACAGTGGGAATAGCTCGGAGCAGGACACAACGGATGATGTAGTCAAGTTCAGTGATGGCGACGATGACTACTTCATGAAGAACAAAAAGTTTTCTTTTAAGCACATCGTGGATGTCGCCGAGGAATACGAAGAAGATGAGGACTTTGATGATGGCGCCACTTCGAACAGTAATAATAGCAACAGCCAGGACACGTATCACACGCCACTTAACAAGAATAACGGAAGCATGCGAAAGACAAATATTCAGTTCAGCGGTTCCAATCCGGTGCGGTCGTGCCGACGAGAAAAGCGCAACTCCATGTACGAAGAAATGGTTAAGTCGCACTATCTGCGACCCACCAAACGTGTTAGCTACCGAGAAGACTTCAACGAGGAAAAAGACGATCAGTCACCAGTTACTTCCGATAACGATTCAGAGGAGTTTTTTCCACCATCGGCCAGACGATCGACAACAGCCGTCGGTAAACGGGGTAGACCCGCACAAGCAACTCCATGTACGCCCTCGAAGTGCTCTATAACTACGCGAGCAACGCGCCACCAATCAAAACTTAAAAGGGAAATGAACGAAGGTAGCAAACGAAGTGGGAGGTGCCAGCAGGACGACAACCAGTATCATGCAGAGTATCAGCTCCTTCCCGCTGAGGAAGAGCACGTGTTCCTTATCGACTTTGGTTTAGCCTCAAAGTATCAGGACCGCGGTGTGCATCGTCCGTTTATTATGGACCAACGACGTGCGCACGACGGCACTCTCGAGTTCACATCGCGGGATGCCCATCTGGGGGCGCATTCGCGGCGTAGCGATCTGGAGTGCCTGGGCTATAATTTGGTGTATTGGTCGGAGGGGTATCTGCCCTGGAAGGATGTGGCCCAGCAGCAACAGCAGGAGAAAGTGCACCGCGCCAAGGAGCTCTTTATGACAGACGTCTCTGAAATGTTGCGACAATTCTACGGCAAGCAAGTTCCTAAGTATTTGGGCGAGTTTCTTAAACAGATTGGCCAGTTGGCATACCAGGAGCGTCCCAATTATGAACGTTACCGCAACATTTTTAAACGGGAGTTTCAGCTTCTGGGCTACGACCCTAGCCAGATGCGGTTAAACAGCGAAGAGATTTTGCGGACCCGCTTTCTTGTTAAGGAAGAGATTGGTGGCAACAAGTGCGATATATTTGAACTGAACAACAAGATTTCGACTAACGTGATGCGTAACTCAACGCTCAGTACTCCGTTCCAGGAGCACTCGAATCGTGTATCGCCCAAGAACCTAAGATCCAAGTCGAGTAAGAGAAATGTGAAAAAGAAGTTCTCATGGGCGGAAGTTATCTCGCAGGATCCCGATCAAATAGCCCGCGAACGGGCTACCAAAGAGTTTGAAAGGGAGGAGACGATTTGCCCATTGCAAATGCGGCTTCCCAAGCGATATGAGGGCAGGCCAACCTATGCGATACTGGCGGTTGAGCAGAGTCGGCGCGATAAAGGACTGGTCGTGCAGGAACATAACGAAGGCGAATGCAATGATGGAGTCGATGCAGTGACTAACGAGCAGGAGGAGGAGGATAATGATGCAGCAGAAAGCACTGATGGAGAGGTACATTTTGTAGATAGCAGATATTCAAAAATGGTCGTAAATATATATTTATTTTTTTCATAACCCAGCAGTATGCAGAGCAAGTTACGTCCGATGAGAGCGATTACTCAGACCATTCCAATGAAGCAGTGCGTCGAAATGTCAGGGGAAGAGCCCATAGTAAAAGAAGCACCACCAAGAAATCCCAAACACATGAGCTGAAATCCAACCGAGGTGCCGCACGTAGTGTGAAAAATGTAGCCGCGGCTAAATTTGCCACCGGTGCTGTTAGCAAATCTCGCTCCACTCCGTTGTCATCAGTGGCCAGTAACAAACGTGGCTGCGCCACACGCAAAGAAAATTCCACTGTGGCCTCCGCCACGACTGAAGTGGAGCGCAAACTGAAATCAATGCGGTCACCAGTGGATCGTCCCAAGCAGCGGGGGACGCGACGTCGCCTATATAAGACTGAGTCAAAAATTGGCCCGCACAATGTAGAGAACAACTCGAGCTTGTTGGAAGTGGAGAGTCTGTACAGCGAATACGATGATGAGAATATTTACATAAAGGGGCGTAGTGTCAACTCGTCCAGGCATTCTCGCAAATTATTGAGAGGTAAATAAGAACCGACCGACTAGGAGGCTCCAAACAAAACAGTAGCAAAGAGCCAGCAAAGCAACCTTAATTCGTTTTGAAGTATTTTATTGGTAAACAAGGCAGATGAGGTGTTCAAAGGAACAGAATATAACCTAATCATACTAATACACGTGGACACCACTCGTATTGATTTGTAATTTTGGTTTTTAATAATTTAAGTAGATAACTGTTAGCATTCAGATTGGTACGCTCAGATCAGTACGATATCAACGCAGTTCCACGCTCAAGACGTTGTTGAATATGTTGAATACATTTTCCGATGTTGTAAGATATACATATACAAACGTATGTACGGAACGGAACACACTGTGTGCAAGAACAGTACACTGTTTGGCCGTACTCCTCATTGCCTTAATAGCAAATTTTTCATATTTTGAAGTTTCGTTTGCCAGTTTTGCGTTATTCTTATGTTTTATTACCCTTTACCCGATTCGATTGCATATAAAAAGGTTCATACTCTCCTCAATAAAGTATTTAATATAAATAGATAAAGGTTATTTCATAATTAATATGATAGCAGTCTAAGATAGGATACGATACAGCCGAAGTAAATAAAATGTAATCGTGTTTCCTTAAAAATGTCCCTAAAACAAACGCCACCTCCCATTCTTACCAGAACTATATCTTCAATCGTCTCAATCCGGCGCAGTAGGGGGAAAAACCGAATTTCAGCACATCCAAATTCGACCGCCTTACGGATCCCTCCCCATTTTGGGTCGCCTAAAATTTGAACGGCCGCGCAATACCGCTGCTCGTAAACCGGTGGGTCAAAGCTTATGTTGGTCTCCGTCATTGCCGTGACGGTATGGAAGTCTCCACATGGCAGTTTGTATGAAAACATTGTAATTTAGTTACGTGTAGTTCTGTTTGGGGAAGGCTTTTTTTTTGTTAGTGACCGTAGACTTATCGATAAAATTTACTGCCTGACCGTCAGAAGACGCAGGTGAGTACTCAGATCAGCGGGAAAATATACCAGATTTACAACCGATTAAATACTAAAGTCTAGAAAACACGCGAAACAAACTCAAAGGGCCAAAGAGCACTAAATGAATACAGTTTTCATCTTATTTATGCAGTCGAACAAAATCGGATTACCCGATACCACTAACCAAATAGTATAGTACTATATTATTTATATACTCTGTACCCAGAGAGCATGCATTTTTCCAACTTTGGTCATACTGGGCACAGAGCGAAATATATGACACTTTCTGTAGTAAGAAAATTTAGCGCATCTGTGTACTGTGCTTAGCAATCGATAATTAGCAAAAGTCTTGTGTCACACGGCCATTAAAAAACTCAGGTATCGAAGTGCAATATGCGCTATAATTTATTTTCAAGTCCTTTCAAATTGTTGAGTAGCAATAAAAGCAATAGATTGTTCCTTATAAATGAGCGCAGTTTGTCCAATGCCTCTCTATCCGACGACACATCGCCCAACCATGCGAAACTTCCGCCTCCTTCTCAACAGAGTGCGAAAAATATCAAGTCAGACGATCAGCAGAGATCTCTGCACATTGCTGTAATCGGGCTGCCCAATGTGGGCAAGAGCACGTTCATCAACAACATAATTAACCACAGGGTATGTCCCACATCCGCCAAAGTGCACACCACCCGCAAGTCGAACACGGCCATTTGCACGACAGGACAAACTCAGCTCGTGTTCTATGATACGCCCGGATTGGTGACCCAGCGGGAAATAAAGAAGCACCACTTGGAGCAGAGCTTCAAGAGCTCCTACCGACATGCTATTCAGCATGCGGACATCATCGCCGTCATGCAGGATGTTTCTAACAGCTGGACGAGAAAGGAACTGCACCCCACTGTCTTGGACACGTTGAAGGCCTACGCCAATATACCGAGTTTCCTCGTGCTGAACAAGATAGATGCGCTTAAATCGAAGCGAGTTCTCTTAGACCTGATTAAGACTCTGACCAATGACACGGTCTCGGGTCAGCGTGCTGGCAAAGGAGCAACGCGAGGTATAGCAGGAGCCGCCATGAATCAGGTGGCAGCGGGAATTCCACTCAACAAGCGGCAAACCACTTGGGATCACTTTGATAATGTGTTCCTTGTCTCAGCCATGACAGGAAACGGGCTGAATGAGCTTCAGAACTATTTGATTGGACAGGCAGTGCCAAGGCAATGGAGATTCGCCTCCGATATTCACACAGATGCCAGCCCCGAGGCTCTAATTGTCGATAGTGTTCGCGCCCGTTTGCTAGACTACTTGCCGCAGGAGATACCCTATAACCTTAAGTGCGAGCTTGAGTATTACAGCTTGGAGAACTGTATGTATATGTATACGACTCAGGCATGTAATATAATTTCCATATTAAAAAACGATTCTAATTGCAGATGTTGTCTACACGTCAGTTCAAGTGCAATGTCCCACTGAACGCATTGAGCGGTTGATATGTGGCGAGTCCAATGGCAAACTGCGTCAGATTACTGAACGTGTGACCTCCGATTTGGTCGAGATGTTCGGCCAGGCTGTCTCACTGACCATTTCCACGGTCTCCAAGGACAAGAAGAGTACGTCCGCCGACCGAAGTTAGAGCGCTCAGATTAGCAGTTGTTACGATGAATTGGTTAATGTTTAATTGTAATGATTATATAAAACATAGAACTCATAACAGTTTCAAGTGTGCAATCAGCTTATCCAGTTCAGCTCCTGACGCTGGTCCCAAGCCCAGAACCGTGGCCGTTCCCGGGTCAATCTGTGTTCGGCCAGCATCCCTCACCAAAGCAGAAACGACGTTCGCCTTCTGCGCTTGTCGCTCCAAGTTATTTAGTTGCTCGAAGCTTTCGACCCGCAACACAACCTTTGGTTGTCCCATGCGACACCATCTCTGCAGAGTAGCACTCTGTTCCGCTGAGCCCTGTGCGGCGTTCTGGTAGCACATGACGGCAGCGTGTGCACATTGGGAAGCCGTTTTGCCTTTGCTCATTTTCAGATCACTTCGAACGACGAGCGCCAGCTTGGTTGTTTTTGTGAAGGCGATTCTGGTTCCGATTATCTTCTGCAGAATGCTACTTGACGTTGGCATACTTTTTACTCTGCTGGTCGATATATTTCTGCATGCAGGCCCTGAATTCCTTCACTCTGTCCTGGCATGCACGCCAGTCACCGGTCTCCGCTATACACTCCTGCACCTTGTAATGTAGCTCAATGCACCCCGTTTTTTTTAGCATGAGCTCCAAGGGATCCTTTTCTTCAGCGGCGGACATCTTTTCATCAGGTCCGGCTAAAGTTGCATCATTAGTTTCGACTAGGGTTGTCAAAAATATATCAAAATATCAATATATCGATATTTTTTCAAAATAAAAAGATATATATATATATATATATCGTGATATTTTCTTTGCCAAAATATCAATATTTATCATTATATTTCTGGTGTTCGTTCGGAAAACAACTCTTTTTTGATTTAAAAATTTTCAGTAAATTTTTTTTTCAAATATTCAACAAGCCCTCTTGCGCTTGTTTTGCTTGGTTCCTTCAACTTTTGAGTATGTGTTGTATGCCTATGTGTTTCTGTCGACAGAAGATAAATTATTTCTTTCGCCTCGATATTTTAGTATTTAATTGGTTGGTTTTCTTTTATTTTTTCCGCTTATCTGAGTACTCAAATGCGAAAAGCTGGCTGCGAAATGTTCTGTAGAACAAAAAACAGGGTTGATTACTTATTGTTTGAACGCATCTGAGTACTGGGCTTAAGGGGATTAAGCCGATCTTGTTTCGAGCCAAGTATATTTCAAAAGTTTGCACTACTGTATCTACTACTTTTAAAGCTTTTTTTAGGTAAACCGACTTTTTTCACATTCCTTAAGTATCTTACATCCTGTTGTAATGAACTTTGTCATTATATAAGATGATGAATATATCTATTTGGTATACTCAGACTCATTGCACTGTCTAGGATATATAAAGTTTTCAAATCCAAAATTAACAATTTTTTGTTCAAAATGTAGACTTCTAAAACTAAAGAAAAGTCGAAAAAGTTTCCTGTCCTGATTGACTGTCGTCTAAGGTGTTGTTTATTAACATATGTATATATAGAAACGACTGAGCTAAAATTGGCCGACCAACGAATTATATTGTGTGAAGAAAAATAATCTTTACCTAAAAAAAAAACGTTAAAAAATAACATAAGTTTTTAAAAATTCTTTAAAAAAACTTATTTCGAAGGAGAAAAGGGTATTATAAAGCATGGTTAAAGCCCCTAATCTATAAAAAAATATGGTTAATTACTATTAGCGAATTGATGTTGCTTCGGCGTTGTTTCATTACTTTCAAGTTTTTGTGTACATCCCAGATTTGTGGATATTACTGATGGGAAGACGCTGTCCATTGGCCTCCAAGTGGACTAAACTGTGTAAATGTTTGCCCCTTAGCGAATCAGGTCAAAGACATTTGACCATCCAGGTCGCAGCTGGATAAATATGTGGAGGGCAGTGCTGAGAAATTGTAACGTGTATGTGGGTGCTTATAAATACGGTTTGATCGATTAGTTAGGCAGTATCTAAGCTTGAAATAAGCAAGGCATCTGTCGTTTGCAATCATGGATATGTCGGTGTTGTGGATGTATCTGCTCATGGTGTCCGTCCTGCTGTTGTTCCTGGTGCCCACAGCGGATTCAACGTTCCTCCTTTGGGCCTGCATATTACGTCTGAATATCTGTCCGTTTCTCACCACCACAACCCCTGCTACGAGTTCGGCTGGAGGTTAATGGATTAAAATGGAAATGCGACAGGGCCCGTCAAATTATTAATTGATTAACTTTCCACAGACGGCTTGGCCATAAATAAATGCAAAACCCCATCTAAATTCGTTAAATCGAGTCGTCTTCAAAGAAACTGTTCATAGACATGGACTAAAACTTGATTACTTTATTTTTAGCAGTCTTCTCCACATTGTCCATCAAAACTGAGCTTTGCTTCAGGACAGCTTCATTGGTATAGTCATAATAGTCCCCAAAGTTTGTCCATGTGTAGTTGAAGTACATGGGACTTGCCCTGGGGTCATCGGGTTGGTTAGACGGTGGGACAACAGTGGTGTTGATGTGCTGAAGCTCCGCCCTCAATAGCTCGAGTACCTTGGGATATTGTTCCGCCAGGTTGAATTGTTCGCAGGGATCATCGCGCACACGAAACAAGCAAGGGGCAGAAAATGCTGTCGCCACACAACTGGCACCTTGAGTTGATCCCCCTTGGCAGGTAACGGTGGCGGCCGCTCGCAGTCTCTGCTGATCCGCCCTACTTGGAAGCATATTTAGTCCAACCATTTCTTTGCCACTCCTACTCTTGAGCACCAAGTTCCAGTCGTAGAGATGGGGATCTCGCTCCCCAGCCGGTCCGTACCAGCCGTCCCATCTTCCATTATAATTAGTGCCCTGTATCATCTTCCAGTCGCCCACCGTCAAGGCAGCGCTGCCCCAGATGTCGTCAATGTTGTGGAGCACAGTCTTGCGTGGCGATGGCAAGTCATGGACAAGGGTCTTCCAAATACTCATCCCATCCAAACTCTGGCTGAGATTGGCCAAAGCGGCATGTCCTCCAGCGGCCTCCATTAACGTCGGTAGCCAGTCGCTGATATGCATGGTCTCGTCGAGAACGCGTCGCCTCTTCTCGAGAAGAGGCGACCAAACGAGACCAGCAGCTCTAACGCCTCCCTCCCATAGGGTGTTCTTCACGCCCCGCAACGGAGAGTTCGAGGCAAAGTTCAAGTTGAATCCCTGAGCCGGGCCCCCGTTGTCCGAGGAGAAGACAATGATCGAGTTCTCCAGCATATTTTTTTTCCGCAACTGTTCCACAATCTGGCCCACACTGTCATCCATTTTGGCGACCATGGCTAAAGCGAGAAACCAGAACAACGTCGCAACATGACCATGATCGAAGCGCAAGACTCACCTGCATATCTGCGGCGCTTGTAGTGGATAATGTGGTTCAGCTTCATCACATCGTCGTCTGACACCGGCAGTGGATTGTACGGATTACCCGAATGACCCGCCGCATGCGATACATACAGGAATAGTGGACCCATCGCTGCTTCATGGTTGGCTATCACAGACACCGAGTGCCTTGTTATCACATCTGTCGTGTACTGTCCGTGGAGATTGTAGGCCACATTCGTTCCGTTGCGCATGTCCAGGCCCCAGAGGTGTTTCTCGACGGCCGTATGATCGTTGTAGTCATGATGGCCGGACCAAAAGCCCACATGGCTGCTAAAGCCTCGATACAGTGGCGTATACTCGAGCTTCCAATGTCCCAGATGCCATTTTCCAGCTATGTGAGAGGTGTAGCTGAGGCGCAGAATAACATAGATAAGAATAAGATCGTTCCAGGCATAAATTGTAATGGACCTACCCCAAATCATTCAAATATTGTGGTAGAATCTTTTCATGCAGGGGAAGCCCACGTGGCTCAGCCGCATAGAGCACCGAATGCTGCATACCTGGTGAAGGTCAAGGCTTTGGATTTAGCAAATGTTATACCAAAAGCCTTGGTCAACGTACCCGTGTGTATGGGATATTTTCCAGTCATAAGTGCGGACCTAGATGGTGTACAGATCGGAGCGACATAATAACGATTCAGAATGATGCCCGAATAGGCCAAGGCATCGATGTTGGGCGTGGGTATCTGTGCCGATCCATGGAAGCCGACGTCGTTGAACCCCTAAAGGTAGAGATATCCAACAGATGATGATTCGATTTTGGTTAGTAGCAGGGAAACCTACCAAATCATCGGCCAGAATGAAGATGATGTGGGGCTTGGCGGGAGCGTTGGCCGTCTCGGAAGCATTCAGCAGGGACAGCAGCAACCAAAACAGGAGCAGAAATTGCATTGTATGCGCCTCTGAACTGGAAGATCGGGTGAGATTTTAGACATTAGACGTCATTAGCTCACTAATTGATGTGTTGCAGAGATTCGCTGTGTTCGAGGGTTCGGGTTCCTCCGTCAATTACAATTACGAGTACGCGGCGATCTCAATTGGCCGCCCGCCCAGTCTACATTTTCGACTACTTATTAAGTGTGCTGTGACATTGATAGTCGTCCGGAGAGCTTACCGTCACAGCTCTGGGAATGGGAAAGTGCAACTGCACCTGGGCTCGATGTCCAGCCTGTCCCATTTGCTCCCATTGCCACACTTCAGTTGGAGCTACGCCTAATTGATTCGACGACAGATTTCATGGCTGTATGAATGGGAATGCTCTGAGTCTGAGCTAGATTCCACTGGAATGGCCGGTTATGGACTACTTCTGTCAGCTGCACAAATCTACACTTCTGCGCAGTCCAGAGCGGCTTTCTAGTGAAGTCCCATCTAATTAGCATGTGAATTGCGTTGTGTCGCTGCTTTTACCGTTAATGGGTCACACAAATGACACGCAGTAGCAGCAGCACCAGAACCAGTAGCAGAAGCGTCAGAAGCACGTAAATTAGCATTTTAAAATGCTAAAAAAAAATCGGGTTGGAAGAATCGCATTCATCCTACATATATGTGTACATAGATAAATACATATGTGTGTACACGCACGGCGAAAAAACGCCGATGCGAACTGTCAATGCCCCAGAAGCAATGGAAGCAAGGGAACCGAGACTGAGAGTATGTCTATTGATCTTTAACGTTCGATCACCTTATAAAACATAAGAGAAATTCCTTTATGGTGCCAAATTATTCATGAGCGAGTGTTTGTTTGTTTTCATATATGGTAATGGGGTTTTCTTTGTTGTTTTTTTACCTATACCACTGAAGGAAATATGTCTGACCCTCATTATTGATCGGGTTGAAAATCACTGACCGCCTGTGCCTGTATAAACTAGTCTGCTTGCTCATGCCTTCATTTTTGAGCTACCACCGAGACCGTATGCCTTTTTACTATACTTTTGTATGCACCTATCTACCTGTTGAAACCTTGCCGAATCGGACCTCCACCTTTTTGTACACATGTATATTTCATCTAACATTCGAACGATCGGTTTTGAAGAAATTCGATGTGCGGCCACAAAGTACAAAAAAGTTTGGCTCTAAGAAATTAGCTTCCTTACAGTTTTGCTTTACTAAAGTATTTTCTGCTAAGCACTTAGATTGGTAAATCACTTTTGTTTTACATTCTACATTTAAATTGGATGGCACCGATTCACCAATGTGACCGCGGAATTATCGATAAAATAAACGCCTAACCCTCGGAAACATACCGAAATATACCTTTTGATTTCCAAATTATACCGTAAGATTTAACATCTATCTTATATTTCTTCCTCGTTTTTTATATTCCGCTAAATATTATAAGCTCTTTAGGATTCTCCACGCTAACACTATAATTTTATCTAATTGATACGTCAATTCTGCATAAGATTGGCTGGTTTTCATGATTTCCTTGTATTGGATTGCTTACAATAGGGTTTCAACTAAAAAGGCTAACCCAAAAAAAAGCACACAATGTTACGTGAGTAGGCTTGAAACCTTTCTATACCCTTTTTCAATTAAAAAAATATAAATATTACAATTTTGTTTTAAAAAATGCTCTTTAACATTAATTATGGATTTTTTTTATGTTAAATTTTTATGTTTTTAACCTTTTCAAATGTTTTGTATACATATATGTACATATATGGGAATTTATCTGACGAGGTCGACAAATGCCGGGTATAATAAAATATGTACCCACGTTATTCTGTGGGTAAATTTGTATCTAAATTAGTTGAAAGGTAACTAATTTAAAAAGTTAATAAGCAAAACTAATTTTTTCGGTCTTTTCCATACCCGGTACTCGAAGAGTAAAAAGGGTATATTGTGTTTGTGGGGAGCAACGGTTGTATGTAACGCACAGAAGGGAACGTTTCCGACCCCATAAAATGAGCCCTGCCCCCTTCTGCCACTGCAAATCGCGAAAAATCGGCTAAATTCACAATTTTGAAGATAAAAGAAAACTAAACACTGCTAATTTCTTTATTGTGGCTATAATAATGAGCCAATCAGATCCCAATTTGGTGATCTGATAGAGATGGCCATTCCCTACAGAATGGCGTTTTTAGATTTCTTGTAACAGTGTGAGCATACAGAAGCGGGGGCGGGGCTAATTTTTTAAATACACCGGTTTCAGTGTGAGCATACAGCAGTCTGGAGCCAAAATTTGGTCAAATGTTGGCGCATTGTGCCACACCTTCTGCCTTACAGGCAGAGGCTGAGACGAAGCCCTGCCGGTTCATGTTGGGCTGGTGGGGTAGTCGCCCATTGCGGTTTTGTTTGTCGTATGCTGCGGTGGCAATACGAAAGTGTCTAATCGTAACGTAAACCAACTCCATCCTGGACCTGAACCAGCAGGTTCAGGGGAGCCAGTATACTGTGTCTGTAGAAGGTGAGAAAAGAAAAATAGCTGCAGGCGAGTTGCTGCGGCTTATCTGCGATCAGTTTATCTTTCAGCAGCATCGTTTTCAGACGCGTTTCGGGCCTCGGTTTCAAGAATGGCACTTGCATTCAATATTCAATGCAGAGTCCGGCGTTTCTGGTGCTGGCGTCCTGATCCTGGGCAGCCTCAGTGTCGTCCTGAGGTTCAGATTGACCAACATAAGCTATTCTTGGGCATTTGTGTGACTCATCCGTAACGTCCCACAGTTAGATCTACAATATCGAACTGCGCAATTTCGTCAGCAACAATAAATGTATTTAATATTGCTGTTGTTGGCTGCTGCTCTTGGGTGACTGCATTCACCCCCGATCTTGCGCGTTCCCTTGCCCTTGCTAAAATATCCGTACTGTAATAAGTTTGTGTGGCTGCTGATACCTCTTTCTGAGGGGGGGGTTGTGGCTCCT